TCGCCCCTTGCCCGCTGGCCGGCAGGCAGGCCGGTCTCTCCGGCCTCGCCGCGGTGGCGGGGCCGCTGATGGGCTGTCGCACTCGCGACTGTGGGCACTCTTCGTCTGCTTGCGGTCGCCTAGCTGAGCAGGAGGGTTGCCTGTAAGAGAGCCCTGGGGTCTCTTGTATATATTTTATATTTACAAGAAAGGCTTCAGTCCTACATTATGGTCTAGAAAATGTGGGGTTTGTTTCCTTTTATGTAACTATATATACAATTCAGAATCTTTGAACATTTAACTCGGCTTTTTCCTATTCATGTTTACAAGCTGGCTTAGTCTGTGTTTAATTCTTCGATAAACAGGAATTAAAACAAGTACCATAGAGACTCTTTATGCTTTTAAGATGGTCTGATTTTTTGCTTCCCCTCTGTTCCTGTAGGAAGGAAGGAAGGAAACACTACTCCCTAATAATTTACTTTTGTCAGAGTGTTTCAGTTTTCAATCGATCTATGTCTCAATTTTACTGTCTTTTAGAATATTCCTGAAGAAAGCTTGTATGTGAAATGTAATGGGCGACTTGTTAATGATGAAGATGCATTGCAGAATGGAGCTGTTTATAGTCTGGAACCAAGACTCTGTGGTGGAAAAGGAGGTTTGTTGCTTAAATGCTTGTTACTGATTGGGTTCTAAGGTTAAAAAACTTCTGTTACACTGTAGTTTATACTGATAGAAGCAGTCCTGATATCTTAGCAGATCTCTTGTAATGTGAATGACTGATACAGTGTCTCTGAGATGAAACCAAAGTCTGTGTGCAAAGCTGAGAAGTGATGTGGGAAGCAGCAGTTCAGCTAATGGCATGGCTGGCATAGCTCCTCATCATGTCACCGGTCAGCTCAGCTCTGTCAGCAGAAATCTGTAACATGCATCAAAGGGACTTTAGGGTTGAAATTGTTTAAAAGCACCTGGTTTACTCTCCTAAGTTTCATTTGTGGTCACTTAGACAAATATGTCAGGTACAAATAGTTTGTGATTCAAGTATGTTATATGACCTAATTGATTTTGTCTTTTCTTATTTAAAAAAAAAAAAATTAAATGCCAAGATCCCAGTAGGTGAGAACTAAAGAATTCAATCTAAGACAGACTCATTATACTGATAAACTGTGTTACAGAATATATGTAGTAATCATACAAAATGATGTAGCCACTGACAGTGTGGACATTCCCTAAAATGGAACATGATGGGTGGAGCGAGTTTAGCAGAGTATTTGAGTTTAATTGGAGTTTGCTTTTGCAGTTCTCAGAATTTTCCAGCTATTGAGTTAAAATGCTGAATAACTGTGCAGCCTTGCATCAGGCTGCAGCTCAGTTTACTTTGCCTTGTTCGTAGTTTTAGAAAGAACTGGAAATAAGTATTGTTGCTATAGCTTATGAGCTATTGTGGTTTCTTTAAGTGCCCTAAAAGTGGTGCATATGGTAGATGTTCTAGTATAGGATGTTTCTTCCTCACCTATTGTCCATCAGCTTCAGTTATCCTGGGATGACACAGGATACACATTCTGTCACTCAGTCTGTGTTACGGAGGGGGTTACATTGGGGTCTTTAACAATTGTTCTTTAACAGTTTTGCCTGCTTTCTAAAGTGTTCCTTTTGTTTTGACTTCATAACTTAAAAGTTTGGTAAAAACAGGCAAACAAACACAGGTCAGAACTATTGAGATTTCCTGTATCATCTCAAGGAAATACACATTATGCTGGCTTAGAGAACTGAGCATTTTATTATCAGACCTAACTCAGCACCTGTGACCTTAGTGAAAGCATAGCTGTTGATTTCTGGAAACATACCTGGCTAGGTGTAGCAGCTAGGTCTGCATTCTTCAGAATGTGGAATTTGATAACATGTTTCATGAGCTACAAAAGTTCTCCTCTCTAGTGGCAGCAATTGGTTTTATTAGCTGAACACAATACGTTTTCTGCTTCATGATACAGTAGGCTGTATGGATTGGTTGCTGCTTATATACTTTTGGGGCACTGAAAAGTATAGATTTGCTAAGCTCTTAGTTAAAAAACTGCTTGGCACTTTCAAAATGCTCAAAGGATTATTTTAATATTAATCCACATTGTGTTTCTTTGAGGTAGTTAAATGACTGTCTTGAGCTGGAGACAACATAAGGTGGGACTGATTGAGAGAAATAGGCAGCCTTGCCTGTGAGTAGTTAGTGGCTGAGGAGTGTACAGAAATCTATTCGGGGGGGGCTCTCCAGCATAACATTGTATATCATGATCATCTTGATGAAGTGGCTAAGACTATCTCCTAAAAAAGTTATTGTATTTTTTGTTAGACTTTTAAAAGGGGATTTGAGTTTGGTGGGGGCTGAAGAGGCCTAAGAGGGAGGTATATCCTGGCTAAATTAGAAGGGATACAAAAATGTTACGTTGAGTTGGAAAAGGTCTCAGACTGTTGTGCTGCAGGAGTCCAGAAATGGGCTTTCATGTTAGAAGTGCTGCACAGGTCCATCTGGTGTGATATTGGGAGCACAAACCCAAGATGAGTGGTAAATGCTGCATACCATTTTTTCGCTTAGTCTTTCAGCATTTCACCCACTGACAGTTCTCCAACTCATTGCAACTCTCAACTTAGCTCTTATTTCATTTGCTTTGAGGGAAAGTGTTGAATTCACTATATTCTTTTTCCATAATTATTTTGTTGTGTGCTAGCTCCATTTCCTGGAGCTAGCTCCAGTTCCTGTTTAGCTAATTCTTGGTTACTTTTTTGTCAGGGTTTGGATCTATGCTGCGAGCACTTGGTGCTCAGATTGAAAAGACAACAAATAGAGAGGCTTGCCGAGATCTCAGCGGAAGGAGACTCCGAGATGTCAATCATGAAAAAGCGTAAGGCATTTTCTTAGAAGTTAGAATTACAAAATAAACTTACCATGTAGCTCACTGTTAAAAGAGGTCCAATGTCAGACTGTTGTAGCAATGAAATTATATTTTTTAATACTAAAAAGAGCAAAAGTGAAATCTTAAGCACAGATGGCCCAGAAGCCAACCGGGTTCTTTTGACTGTTATTATTGCAAAATAGAGGTGATTGTACTGCAGCCTGCTCCTGAGAGACTGTTCTGCACCTCTTAGATTTCTCATCTGGAATTCTCACAGTTCTTTTCTCTGAAGCTGCAAGACTGTGATATTGGTGATATGTGACCTAACTGCTGTTTTTGGCTTCCAAAATGAACTTTACACTCTTCTCTGTAGCAGAATCTCTTTATATTCCTTCAGTAATTCCCCTGGGAGCTGTTAGTCATCTGTTTCCATTGTCTCCCATCCTAGCAGGTGGTAGAAGCATTCAGTAATTGCAAAGCAACAAACTGATATTACATTAAATGTTGGAAACATTCTCATTTTCTTGGTTCTGTTTGCAGGATGGCTGAATGGGTGAAGCAGCAAGCAGAACGGGAAGCAGAGAAAGAGCAAAGGCGCTTGGAAAGGCTGCAGCGGAAACTTGCAGAGCCAAAGCACTTTTTTACAAATCCAGACTATCAGCAGCAGTGTCATGAAATGGCTGAGCGACTAGAAGATTCAGTCCTTAAAGGTATTGCAGTTTAACCTCACTTTCTCTCCTGAAAAAACAAAGCAAATTAAAAGCCCCTATAACCTCACTCCAATATGAAAATTAAAACCCAAAAAGTACTGTCAATAATTCTTTCAACTGAATGACATTTTAAGTTCCAGTAAAATTTGTTGGCATTCATTTTTCCTTTTTGGGTACTGCTTCTCTCAACTTGAATTGAACAGCTTAACATGGATACTTCACACAGATGCTTCATCTTCTTGTGCTATAGTGTCATCTCATAATAAAAACAAAATTCTTTGGAGGTTAGTGTCACTAGTTCAGCTAAGAATCACATAATCATTTTCAGTGAAATGATAAAATATAAACAGGTCTTACTAAAAACTAGAAATTGAACCCAACTACATAATACCTTGTTTCACTTTCTGTTCTTTGTAGTTATCTTATTTACCCACAGATTGGTCCCTTGCTTGCAGCGTGATAGTGAAACTTGAGGCTGCATAGGCTGTAGAACCTAGATTTCAGTTCAGGAATCCGATTTTAATTGACTCTGTGCCCTGGTAAAGCAGTGTGGAAAAGCTTTTGTTGCTACAGAGTTTATTTTGAAGTTTTGAATCTACAGAAATGAGGACTAATAGTGTTTATTTTCAGCTGGTGTTTTAAATTGCATCTAAAATTAAAAGATCAGTAGAATTTACAATGTACGTGAATTGTGTACTGATGATGTACACTTTTAACTTACTTTTGAAGGATTGCAGGCCACTTCAAGCAGAATAGTGTCAGCAGAAAGTGGCAATAGCCGGAAGCGTCCAGGTGAATCTGGAAAGAATGGAGCAAAATCTCGAAAAAGAAGATGTTTTTGGTAAGCATTATCACTATCTTAGTACTTGATACTCAAGTATTAAGCCCAGAACAGGATGAAAAATTAGGTGCATATAAGTAAGCAACATCTTATCTGAGATGCAAATTTAAATGGTAAAATTAAATTGAACTGATTCAGTTGGAGAACTGAAAGTAGATGTTGCTGTGTTCATATAATTCTGTCCCAGCTGGAGTAGACAAACTTTATTTGCAAAAATGGGCACTTCCCCACCCCCTAATGTGGGTATATTCTATTACCTTCCGTTGTCCTTTTTTTCACTAATGAAGTAAATTTACAATTAACATAAAAAAAAAATTCCTGGCATTTTTCACTTAATGTAACATGAAAGAGAAGCCTTAATGATTCCACTGGTGGTTGGAGTAGCAATAGGTAGCACATTATTTCTGTATTGGTAATGCTGTAAAAAAAGAACCTGTTTTGCGGGGATGTTGGGTCCTGTTCAATATTAGCAGCTCTTCCATTTACCAAACTATCCTCAATAGCTGCTAGAGTAGTTCACTGCAGCTCTCTGAAGTGAGTTTTGGAAAGAAAGTGTGACAATTAAAAAAATTTTTTAAAAAAGTGGAAAATAGGTGAATATTAAGTTCTAATACACTCTTTATGCCAGGCTGGGATTGGAAGGATTGGATGATCCTGACAGTTCAGATTGTGAGGATGACAGTGAAGATGACTCCCCTCACACATCTGACGGAAGTTGTCCGTCAGGCAGCAGATATAATGAAAATGCTGGAAACTCAAACGAATGTTCTAGCAGCTCTCTGGATTCAGTAGAGGATAGTCCAGCTACCAGTGCAAATGAAAAACCACCAGAGCAGCCAGAAGGTACTGGAAGAGATCTGCAAGGAGAGACACACACAGGTGGGCAGACTGAAATCCCAGCTGAAGAAAGCAGTAAAATTACAAAGCCCTTGATGGATGAGGCCCAAGAAAAGAATGAAGTAACCCAGGCTCTGAAAGAAGAGAAGCAGGAAAATGTTTCTTCTAAGGCACAGGAAATGAACCAGTTACAGAGCACAGTAAGTATGAAGCAGTACAAAATGTGGTATGTCTCTATTCAGCTGCTTTTCCTGAATCACTCTTCCCTTTGTGGATAAAAAAAAAAATGGGAGGGGATTTTCATCTTATGATTTCAATGCATTAGATGTACATGCTTGAATTAGAATGTTAGTCTCCCTGAGAAACTAATAGAATCTACAGAGTTTGATTTAGAGGACAAAACTTCCTAAGGTTAAAAGGAGAAACAGCTTAGCTAAAGATGCATCATACAACTTATGAAAATGGAATATAGCAAGTTAATGGAAACTGCAGCCAAAGAAGGCTCTTGGTTGACAGTGTCTCCATGGAGAAAGTTGAATTGTGGTATGGTAGCATTGTCCTGAGTGATGCAGAGTAGAATGGGTCAAGGAAGAACTTTCTAAGATTAAGATTTTAATAGTCTAGAGTTTCTGATAGGATGTGGTTGCCCTTGGCTGTCTAGTATTGTCTTTCCTGAGATCCATGTTTCTCTTGGGGTTTTTTGTTGTGGTGTTGTTTTTTTTTTCTCTTGCATAAATAGATAGACTCTGGATCCAAAATTCTTCACTGAGGAAGGAAAAAGGAAAATAAACTACTTCTGTAGGATGAAAGGCTCTTATCAATACTTTTTGACACATTCCCAGACATTGTCCAATTTGACTAATCTTATTTTTAACATAATTTGACCTTAATGTTTGTCACTTACCTCAGTGTTTAAATTAGAAGTTGTCCAAAGAGATGCCCCTCATAACCAATCAGCTGATGAGCCTTACTTAGTTTTTATTATGAAGACCTGCATCTAGTTCCTAGAGAACCCTAGAAGTCTGGTGCAAGCTTCAACTCTTCATTGACTATCGAAAGTCTGAAAGCAGCAGCTCCTTCACTAGAGAGACAGGATTAGTGTAAATGATGGGCTTCCTCTGAACTGCAAAGGATGGTGGAAGAGTGGCTGTAAAATTGATTGTCTGGTATATCCATGGTGGAAGCAGGTCTCTAGTGTTGCCGTCCCATTATCTCTGCTGCAGTCTGGGTTGGAAGCTGACTGTGCGCTTCCTTCTCTGGTGACTGACAGGAGGATGGCTGGGATTTTTCTGCTAAAAAGGCTTCGGATCAGTCTTCCAGCCAAGAGAGAATGTAGCTTTTCCCACTGAATTGATGAAAGCCCAACTTACATCATCTGGCAGTAAAAGGTGCCAATACTTGTGCTGCATCGCTCCTTGCATAATATTGCTATTAAAAAAGTTCAGGGGTAATGAATCTAGGGTTATTTTAGCAATAAAACAAAATGTGGTTTTTTTCAGGCTAGAGAGTTGCTTGGGTCTTCTGCCTTTTTTATCAGCTTGAGCAGAAAGTTTACCATCAGCTGCCACTGCCAGTGACTGAATTCTGATAAGTAGAAGTTTAATACAGTTAAGTAGAAAAAAGACCAAGGATGTAATCTGATAAATTACAACTGTGTCATCTACTGTACTATTAGAGCTGGCAAATTTTAAACAGGATGTTTACCATTCTTCACTGTTTACCTTTTGTTCAGTATTTGTGAGACTGCCTATTCCTAGAACAGGAAACTCCACCAATGCTGTGGCAGATTGTTATTGCAGGTGGAAATATTTTTATAATAGTCCTTGATGAATTTTTTTAAAAGTAGGATGAGACTAATGAGGTAACCAGTCTTTTTGTATGCTTAGCAGGACAAAGGTTCTAATTCTGCTAGCATTAATTGTTTTTGCTGAATTCATAACAGAGTGGTCTCATTCCCACTGCTGGGAATACTCCATAACATACGTAATGGGATAACTCTGTGATATGTACCATAAGACTAATGTGCTTTTAAGTATTGAACAAAATGAGCTTAGTTTTTCGTGTCCTTTTCAGTGTGTTAATGTTTAGTTTTAGTGTGTTAGTAAATTCCAGCATTTGAATTATCCAGTCTTTTTCCATGTTCTTTCATGGATGAGGCCTGGGGCTTGGACTGGACAGTCCCTTTCACCCTTGATTAGTCCGCAAATTTTAATCCATTTTCTTGTGGCAGGATGAGATGTGAGCTTCAGAACTTGCTTTTTGGTTCATCTTATTAAAAAGAGGGTACTTTTATATCTATTTCTGTAATTATAGTGTAACTGCATTATAAGTAACTATTCATCCTCCTTCTTGCTACTGCTGGGGGCTTATTGGTTATATTTTAAATTGGGCTAAAAAAGAGCTGTTAGCTCTTCCATGCCTCTTGGAAGCCAAGGTTAAGCTGCTGAACTGCTAGGTGAGATGGTGGGATGCTGGTTTTAATTCAGTTTTCTTGGGAAGTTTTTCAGTTTAACTTTACTGGGGATAGAAGCCACGTCAACTATTTTGACTCCAGGGGAATGGGATTAAATGCTGCCTTTTATTTTACTTTTTTTGTCATTCCTCTATTGCAAGTAGAGTATATTAATTCTAGTGGAATAATTTTAAAAGTTCAGCAGTGTTTCTGTCCGTCAAAGTGACCAGTGCTGCTGATTTGGAGGCTGTGTACACTGCCATTCTAAGCAGCTTGTCTGGACATGTTAGAGGGAGCCTTTAACTAGCAGAGGCACTGCAAGGAGTAGAATTGTAGCAGCACAGTTGGACACTGGGTACAAAGCTCACGTGAGCATTCACCCCACTCTTGGGTGTGTTCTCTCTACTAAGATTTGCATGTTTTACAGTTAGGCTGCTAGCTAGCTTCAATTTGCTTGCACATGATGTGGTAATACTTTTTCTGGGTAGCATAAGTACTGCTAATAATGAGACTATGCAGCTTAATAAATATTGAGACATTGCTTAACTTTATTAAATAATTAGGAGTTTGAGATAACCCTAATTGAAGGTCTTCTGTGAAATGAAGCGTTCTATCTATACTTGTTTCTCCCCTTGCAATCAGGAAGAAAATAGTAATAATAGTCTGATTGGGTGTTTTTCTCTTTGCAGGAGGTGGAACTAATAGACCTACTGGCATTCAACTCTGCTGCTGAAATGGAAGCCCTGGGTTTAGACAAACTGAAGATGCAATTGATGTCTTTAGGACTGAAATGTGGAGGCACTTTAAAGGAAAGAGCAGCAAGGCTTTTTTCAGTGAGAGGTCTGTCTAGAGACCAGATTGATCCTGCCTTATTTGCCAAGCCATCTAAAGGGAAAAAAAAGTGATTCAACAGAAAATTATTTTGTATCCACTTGCTTTTAAAATTTTCTTATTCTGTTGTCATTCTGTACTGCCATATATAACTCTGGCATTCCTGGATAGTTTGTTTCTATTTGTAATGAAGATCAATAAACATAACACAGAGGAAGTTGCTAGATAGCAAGTTAGTTATACATTCAGTATGTTCAGTATTTAAGGAGTGAAACTACTATCTTTTGATAAGCTTTAAAAATGGTTATAACAGGTCTTAATGCAACAAGTAGAATAAACTGTTTTTTGGAAAATGTTTGTATGACACTGTCATTGCTTAAGAAATCCAGCAGTACTTTCTTAGCTTTGTATTGAATCTCCTTTATTGTGTATTCCAGCTAGCACAGGTAGTTGTCAAATGAGAAACACTGAACTTATGATCCAGGCTTAAAAGCTGAAGTTTCTTTAAATAAAAACATTTTTATATGGATGTGGTCAGTATAAATTAATACACTGTTCTGTGAGTTTGTGGGATGTCAGGTATCAGTATGATATAAATTATTAATGTGTCTATTTTAGAGGAAGTTAAATAAGGGTATTTACTTTGCTCTGGAAAAGTAGCTGAGTGAGGGAAGAGAGAATCACTTAAGAAATTAAAAAGAACACAGTACACTTGCTGGCTGCTGAGTGATCATCTGAAGCTGAACAGGAGATTTGGGGTGTTTTTTAATTCTCTCCCTATGGTAAAAACAATGGCAGAGTCTCCCAAGGACTTTAATTAACCTCGAGCAGCATCTGTAATCTCAGTGCTGGGAGTTAACCCTGCGAGGTGGTGAGGGCCCCTTGCTGGATGGGCTGCATGTTCACATGACTGTGGGTGCAGCTGCCACTTCTGTGGTTTGAGATGCTTTTGAAAAGTGTTTCGTTCAGTGGCTCAGATTTCAGTTTTTACCACCATATGTTGGAGAATGTTGTTTATGACCTGCTTGTCAGATTTTATTGTAGAGATGCTTGAGAAATAAAAAATGATCTCTCCTGACATCATACCATTTGTTTATCTGTTTTAAAGTTGGCTCATAAAGTTTTGAATTGAAATACTGGTAGGAAATGGGCTTCAAATGCTGGGAAATCAGTTCATGTGTGTAGTATTGGATGTTTCTGACATGAGAGGAGTTTGATATTTCAGTCAGCTTTGCAATCTTATGACCTCTCTCCTCAGAAGCTGTTTTGTTTATGCTTGGAAGTTTTGGATTGAGAGGGGGTGTTAAAGCGCAAGGATTTATTCTTGACAAACTCTACAGGCAAGCTGTTAAATCAGTCCTGTTGGTGCAGCTGCTCCAAAATGCTGCTTAACCTGGCAGTTTCTTCTTCCTGCACCAGTGCAACCTTCCCAGGCACGCTCTGTTACAAAACAACACTGAAGGCTTGCTGGCCCCCAGGTTTTGTCCGTCAGTCTGTCTGTCCCCCCCACCCTGCTGCGGGTGCTGTGGGATCCTGGTGCTGGCAGGTGTTCACTGCAGGACCCCCCTGCCACCCCGGGCAGCCAGCCAGGTGGGGGCCCTGCTTTGTAGGAGACAGAGTGAAAATTATTTCTAATGCACAGACAATAGTTTTTCTACCTGCAAGACAGATTTGAGACTCCCTATTTGCAAGTGTAGTTGATGAGGTATTCTTTTAACTGAGTACCGCCAACTTCTAAATTTACATCCACAAGATAAGCTTTGTTAGCCTCCCAAGGAGTTATAAAAGAGATAACGCAGGTATTTGCAGTATACTGTCACACACAAACCCATCACTTGTGGATCTGTTTGACACCGTGTTCTGAAAACACAAATCATGACACTTCAGGGCTAAATTATTAAAGTACATCTTCCATACAGGATCCAAAAGATACAAACTTAGTATTTTGCAGCTTAAAATTAGTGAAATCTGTTTTACATGATGAGCAGTGACTTAAATGCAGCAAATGATAAAATAGGTAAGATGATATCTGGTGGCAATAAAGCACTTGACATGTCTGACAATCTATGTGTGGGTCTTGGAAAACTTAAAAAAAAATGAGGGGGAATAGAGGGACATTAAGATTCTGCAAATAACATCCCATGGTGATTGTGACAGGACAAGCGGACCCGGGGTAGAAAGGAAAGGGTTTCGTTTACTGCGTATATTAATCAGGAAACTGCTGTGGAGGATACTTGGGAGGTCACCTCAGCATAATGAAGTTTTTCTGGCATAAATGTCGCCTGGGAATGTTACACACTGGCAGCAGTGGCCAGACTTGGGTGTGCTTACAGCAGACTCTCATATACGCAATGTACATCGTTGGGGTCAGGAGAGCCTTCAGCTCTATGAACACATTCAAAGGCCTCTGTAGTATGGCAAGGCTAGTGTGGGCCAAGGGAGAATACACCACTTTAATGACATGTTTTGGCAACAACTCTTCCCTAAGTTATTTTCCCTCCTTGTAATTTCACTCTTGCTTCAGCTGCACAGACGCAACCATTTCTGAGTTACCCCACGTGTCAGCCATTTGCCTTTTTTTTGTTATTGTGGATTTGTTGTTAAACCAGATCAGTTCCCTGATGGGGCGCATGATGTGGCTCTAACAAATTTGTGCCAGCACAACTGAAGTGGCGTTACATAGGGTAGGGAATAAACACTGGCTGGTGAAGGGGAACTGGAATATTTGAAATCAGCAGTAGTGCCAAACACATTGATAAACTGTTTTCAGTAATGCCAGAATTAAAAGAAATACCCTACATCTGTGTTAGAGGACCACAGCTTATATGTACCTTGAAGCAGCTCCACACCTTGCACATGTATTTGGGAACTGCTTAGCTCCTGCTGAGCTAGACAGGAACAAGCACTTGCTGTGATAGGCCCACGTGAAGGGTTAGCCTAGAGCAATACTGGGGAGAGCTGTACACGTGCTCACTGGCAAGGCTGGACTTTCATGTGTCTGTAGGGTGTCCTTCAGAAAATAGCTGGATAACTGAAGTGCTAAGGCTTGGACAATAAGCCCAAGCCAGAGTTGACCTATAGATGAATCCTGTAGATATTATAACTGATAACCATTGTGCTAGTAGGTATTATACTGAGTTACAACAAACCACCTATTCTGTTGTAAAAGGTGGAAAAGTATTGAAGCCTGAGCAACAGGCCCCGAGCCGAAGCTGCTAACTTAGTATGGAGTCACTAACGAAATATGTATGCTCATTAATGAAAGATGTTGCTTAGATATCATATGCTTGTTACTGGTGATGGATGTAATGAAAACATGTCTATCCTGAATGTATCTTTCTTCTTCTCTGTGTAGGGGTAAGTTAACAAAGCTGTGAAGCCAGCTGTCTGGCCTTGGGACAGACGTATGGCCTTGTTTTAAAAAGAACATAAATTAGATAAGCAGGGAAACTCCCTTAGCTTCTCCCTTGAGCCCTGGCCAGGCTCTGGGGGAATCTAATGCGAGAGTGACACCAGATAGTTCCGCCTCATACAGAGGTGCCAGCTATGCTGGCTTGCTGTTTTGGGGGTGTGTAAGGCTGGACCCGCTCACAGCGACTTTGGACGCCTCACCTACGGGTGGACGCACCACGTAGGATTTCCCCCCTGCCGGGAAAGGCTCTCCAAACCCTCGCTGTCACCGGGGCTGCCCAGCATCTGCGGGTCTGGATGATGGTAGCGTATGTGAGTGGTGATGGATCTTTCTTAATCACTATTGTCTCTCTCAGGTAGTAACGATTTGACGCATTACCCTGGATTTTCCTCTTTGTTTAAGTGCACGATTCTGTCTTTTCTCACTGTGTATGTTTTCTGTATTATTCTGTTATATTCTTTAGTTATTTCCAGTAAAATACACCTGCTCTCTTCACTCTGTGTCTAATTGGTATCCCTGATCAGTAAAACAATAGCAAACAGGACTCAGACTGATCCTTCAGCAGAACAGAAACAGTTGAAGTGCTTGAAGCCTTCTTAAGAATTTGGACAAGAAAAGGAAGGCAACAAATACAAGTAAAAAAAAAAAAACCAAACCCCCAAACCAAAAACCTGAAGCTATTCCAGTGTAGTACAGGCTATTTCCATAGGACAGAATGGCCTCAGAATAGAGGTGATCCTTCTAGTCCAGGGCCAGAGGATAATGCAAAATTCATGGGACTCTGCCTCTATCTTTCTTTTTCAAAGGATTGATGCAGCTTTGGCTTTCAAAAGTGTTTCTGGTTGTAAATGCACCAAAACTGTGAACATCTTTCCAGAGAGAAGGTTCATGCTCCCACACAAACACTTCCCTAACAAGCAAGTGGTGTGACTTACAGAATTCTTCCGAAGTGTCATTTTAAATGCATTTATTTCAAACATCTAGAAGATCTAGAGCACTGCCTCATGTTTTTCTTGCATTTCAGAGGAAAAATTAATTAGCAAAAACATTGGCACAAACCTGAGGGAGGGCTTTTCCTCACCTCATACAGATCTATCTGTACCCTGGAAATACATAAGTACATAAAATACACAAAAAATAGCAGGGAACAGGGTAGGTCATAGAGAGAAATAACTCGCAGAAGTTTAGAAGGATCATCACCAGCAGACACAGCAACAGCTTCCAGCCTTCAGCCAAAAGGCTCCTTTCCCGTTTTCCTCTCCTACGCAGTCCCCTGCAGCACGGACAAATAGACAAGTTGCTAAAAAGCCACTTCGGTGTTTTGACCTCAACAGCATTTTGTTCCGAGTATGCAGGAATTTCTTCCTTTGGTTTTCTGAGTCTGACAGCTTCTGCACTTGCTACTGTAGGTGGCACTGGACTAACGGCAGAGGACAGGACCATTTTCTGCAGCGCTGATGAAACCCTCAGCCCTTTGAAAAAAAAATACCTGACCGGAGGCCCTGGCTCTGTCCCATGGTGCACAGGCACACGGTGCTGCTGCAGAGCCCACATACTAGGTCATGTTTACATCATTCTGCCCATCCCAGAAACAGCCAAAATTAATCATTTTAATCCACCTGAAGTTAGTTCTTATCCAAGATTTTGTTTCCTGGAGAATGTTTACATTTTAAAGGTTTGTTTGTAAGGATGCCTATTCTCAGGAAGGTCCTATTTAACCAGAAATGTTAAAGGCTGCACCGTGGTTAGTTAACACAGCCACCTCACAGCTGGTTTTGCTTTCAGTTATAACTCAGCAATTAGGTGGCTTTGCAGATTAACATACCTAATGGCTCCTGAAGGTGTGGAGGTGACAACTGCTCTGACCTCCTCCAGCTGTTGGGAGGGGCTGGGCAGGCACCGCTGCTTTCCAGCACAGCTAGAGCCTGGGCAGGGCCTGGCTAATCCAAGAGGGTTAGTCTGAATTTAGACCCAGCAGCTGTGCCTGCTTGGGAAGCATCCCAGTGGCCTGAATGCCTGTGCTGCGTGTCCTCCTTCTCCCCGCCGTGTTTGCCACGCGTCTCTAACCGGGCACAAGGGATCAGGAATTTGCACAAAACTTGGAGCGCAGAAAGGAGCAAGAAGCTCTTGTTAAATAAGCCCTGTGGGGGAATCGACCGTTTTTTCCCTAAAACTTGGTGTTGTCTGCTATCTAATATGATCTCTGCCACTGTTGATTTGTAATTTGTGCTTTCACCCTGAAGTGCATGTGGTTGCGTTCAGACATTTCCTTCTTTAAATCAAGCTACCTGGGATGTATGGAAGGAAGAGCAGTGTTTGTAAGGAGCCAGCTGGCTTGTGAAACATCTGCTGGAAATATTTCACATCTGTGAAAACATGGTGTCTGGTGGCTATAGATGGTACCTTATGGCCTGTGTGATGTTGTATCAAGCATACGGTAAGCAGCCAAGACCTCCTAAGGGTGACAGAGCTATTGACCGCTGGGCTGGAAGCTGGCAGTCACCCTAGAAGTAGCAGCTGCAACCTGATTGCATTCATTTTCAGCAAACAAAAACCACACTTTTCCAGGGAATACAGCTACTTGGGCTTTCAAAGGGGAACATTTAAAATCACTGAGAAAGTTAGTAGGAGGAAAAATGTAAACAGTACAATACAGATAGATACATGTTAGGAATGCCTTTAAAACAAAATCACTACGTAGCTTTGGGAAAAAATAACAAAAATCCCCAATCCAGCAACTGTCAAAAGGATACTGAGAGCTGCAGACTGATGACACGACTTTCCAGCACCCAGTCTCTCCAGATAACTATTTCCTGCTGTGGTTAAAACTTGTTTGTTGGCCATTCTGTACCTGCTGGTTCAGCTGTCAGAAACCCGGCACCCACACAGCTCTGGGAGTGCCCTTGTACCCCCGCAGCATAGGCCAGAAGGCAGCAGTTGTGATTAGCTTTTTGCTCTGTTTTATTCTGAAATGAGCTGACGTGCAGGCTGCTCTCCTGTACCTGCTCCAGGAATGGACAGAGGAGTTCAGGTCCTGGCTGCAAACCCAGCACTTTGCATGGGAGCTAATCCCACATTAAATTAATGTCAAAAACCAGGAGATGTTCAGACTGTTAAAAGGCCCCTCTAAAAATACCAAAGTCCTGTAGGATCTCCTCCTCCCTCCTTCTGTTTGCCCCGGATTCCCCTTTCCCAGACTCCAGCTGTTCCAAGCCAAAGCCAGGAGCTTCCCTGATTATCACCTTTGCTGGGATGTGGATTGGGCATCTGAGTTTTCACTTAACCAGGCAATTAGAAGGCTGCCCCGAAAGGCAAAGTGTCAGACACTCTTGGTATGAGTTTGTGAAATGCAAAGGGGAAAAAAAAAAGAAAGGGAGAGGAAATAAGGTCTCACCAGCAGGGTATAGCTGCAACTTCTCATAGATTTTGAAAGAAAATGGGAGAGCAGCCTCCATTCAAATGAAACCATGGAAAGATCAGGCAGGGCAATGTAACTCAGCTAGCAGTGGCATTTAATGTGGCTTAAAAAATCTGTTACTTCTCCTAAAATGTAATGATAATGGAAAGAAAAAGTGCTGCTGTCCTGTCCAAGCCTCTCATAAGAAAGCGTTTGTGAGACCAGTAGATTTCCCCATGTCCAGCTCCATTAAATATTGCAGGACCTCACAGATCTCCTTGTGAGCAGTGCCATGAAGGCAGGTCAGAGATCACGCTTGCAATAAGCTTTAACTCAGACACGCTGCCACTACAAATGCTTACACAAGAGCTTAAGTGTGGGACTAACAGGGCTGTTGAAGCCCTTAATGTGAACAGCACACAGCTCCTTCTCCTTAAGCACCGCGGATGCTCTGTGCTTTCAGTAGTGCAGGAGGATGGCTGATGTTTTAACCCTGGATTTGCCTTAAAACACCTTTACATTTTTTTGAAATTGCTTCTGCTTATATGTGGCTCATTATCCCATGCACTGCTCTTCCTTCTTTTTTTTTACAGCACAGCATAAATGTTAATGCTGAACCACACTGCTGCCAGGTGCATAAGATGTTCTGCCTTTCCTCAGAGACTGTGGTGCCGCTCAGACGAAAAGGATAACATGACAGCTTGACAGCCTTTGTATGCGTTACAAGTTGTACCGATATAAAAACAGCGAGTTAGCACACAGAAGGTATCACAGCAAATTCAGCCTGGATTGAAGATGACAGGCTGGCAGATAATTTCCCACAGCACAGGCTTATGTCTGAAAAAGCCCCAGGTGTGGCTGTATTTCTGCCTAGAGGTTCGTGCTGTACATCTCTGGAGCCTTCCCCACGTCAGCCTGACCTCTGAGCCTGCTGCATTTTCCTGGCAAAGCCAGCTGGAGTTTGAGAAGTGTCCCATCTCCCCAAAACCGTGGAGTTTCAATCCAAATGTGCGTTAAAAACTAGCCGCAGCATCCATCATACTGAGGCAATAGCACAACTGGTTAATTTTTAATTAAGCAGCTTAGTTTTTCCGACGTCAGCGATGCTGTGCACAGAGTGAGGGTAGGGGAGGTCTGTGCAATACCAGGGTCCGCAGGAGCCCCCACGTGCAGCTTCTGGGAAAGGACAGGGGTACAGACTGTGGGCACAAAGAGATGGGGACATGAGATGCCAGACATGGGTGTTAGTGATGCCCAGCCTGGCGCGTAGCCACCCAGCCTATCTATGCTTACAGCTTTCTATAAACCACCTCTTCCTCTGGGCTCGGCTGTGTGCTTACCACCGGCCTCACGGCCCAGGACGGGAGCATGCACTGGGCTGGGGGGCTGTGAACGCAGAGGGATGGTGGGTCTGAGGAGGGAGATGCTGTACATCTGTGTGGCTCCCCTAGCAATGAATGAATAAGTATCCGTGCTGGCAGCAGGGCTGGCAGGCCTTGATTGCTCCCAGATTTGTGCCCTGTCGCTGCAATGCCCACAGTTCTCCCCACAGTGCACAGGGTCTCTTTGGCCACCGCCTCCCCCTCCCCATCTCCCCCCAGCTGTCACACACACCCACACCCACTGCTCACTTTTATGTACCTTGGGTCCACAGGACACCAGAGGGAAGGGAGCCAGACGCAAAGCAAGGGGAGCCGGACACGGTGCAGGATCTTGATGGAGGGGAGCAGAAGCCCTTGCCCACCCGGCGGGTCCCAGCCCCGTATCCCTGCTGTGGTGCTCCACTCCCCGCTTCCCGCCCCAGCCTGGCCCTGATTGCGCTGGATGGGATCTCTCCCAGGCCTGGAGGTGATGTCTGGAGTCCAAGTGCTGGAGGCTGGAAGGAAGCCAGGGTTAATGCTCTTCATTCTCAGGCAGGAACCAGTTCAAACACTTTCTTCCCCAGGAGTGTGTGGATAAATCCTCGGCTTTGTTCCTCATGATGATAGCTGAGCTCATGGCCTTCAGGCTATGCCCTGCCCCAAGCAGGGTGGAGCAGAACTGTGGCTGAATGCCAATGTCATTAAGATGATTAGATGCTACATGGTCATGAGAAGGAAATGGCCAGAGATCGATCCAGCTCATCCAATTCTGATTCCAGTAACCCATGGTGCTATAGCCCAGCGCTGGTGACTGGTGTGTCTGTTTCTGCTTTTTTCTCTCTGACTTTAAAGCTCCTCTTTTGCCACAGGCATTTACACAAGTGAAAGGTGCCAGCCTACCCACAGGCCAAGATGACGGCAGAGATGCCTGGATGACCTCAGACCTGGGATCCTGCATGGCAACAGGGACACTTGACCTCTCAGCCTTTCTGATGAATGACCCAAAGCCACCGCAGAGTCCAATGGGTCCCCCTTTACACCTGGTCCATGACCCATGGCCACCATGTCTAGCCAGAAAAACTCATTTCAGAGTCCTCCCATCAGTAGTGGGTTCATCCAGGGCCTCAGGGACCACGTCGCACAGAGAGGGACAGCACTGACCATTTCATCCCCAGAGCCACTGGTATCTCAGTAGGTTATGAACTCATGAGAGGAATCTGACACAAAGTGTGGACATCATTGTCATTGGTGACACCCTGGCCAACAGTCCAGTACAGTTCCAAAAGGGATTAAACCACATTATGACTGTCCTTCTCCAGGGGATGTGCTGGTCAGCTGTCCATAAAGAAGGGTCAGGATTAAAACGCTTCACCTGGAAAGGGAGGGGGTGGGATACAGCTCATCTATACAGCTCCAGTTGGTTGCCTGCAGGTTCTGGCATTGCACTGCTGCAGCTCACACAGAGAGCATCACCTATTGCCTGTCAGATATGTTTCTAGGATTTCTCTTTAAGAAAGCATTGGCTTAAGTGCCGCAGCAGCTCAGGGAGGAGGGCTGGGGGTGTGGGCTCTGCTCCACCTGCTGATTCAGCCCAGTCCCATCCCTGCCTGAGTAGATAAGCTTTACCTGCAGCAAGCAGGATCACACAGGTAACTGAGATGAGCTGTTACTGTGTGTGTGTTTATAGGAGCTGGGCACAGACCTATGTTCAGAAATATGACAGATATTTTTCCCCCCACTTTCAGACCCAAGAATAAATACAAGCAAACACATGGCTCCTGCTTTAATAATTGCACTTTATTGTTTCCTTGAGTTAGAAAGCTTGGAAAATATCCCTAAATTGAAATAACTGTAATATACAACCAGAAAAATAGGGGTATGATTCTACACACTGTTACTTATGTGAGCAAACCTAAATCCTAATATTCCCATTGACTTCAGGACTCTAATTCTGACTAAAATTGTGCTAAGCCCATGGCACAGGGGCCAAAAATATAATCTTTTGCATTCCAGGTAATATTTTATGTATGTGTATATGTGCATACAATACATATGCACATACATATGTTCCTTTGATCTCTAGACAATATTTTATGTACATATCTGTATGTAGACAATATGTATATATCCAGTATGTATGTAAACAATGCATACATATATTCATATACTATATATATGTACACGTGTTTGTGTGTGTGTATACAGTATATACATGTAAGTGCTTCTGCTCTCCAATTCACCATAAACATGACTTGGACAGACAAGGATCAAAACCAGGAGCCTAAGAATGAAAAGCTGAACCCAGGCATTACTCCTCACCTGGTGATGATCACTCCTTTGCCTGTAGCTGTTTGCAGTACTCTGGGGTGGGGACTGAAATAAATGGGATGCAGCTCAATCAAATGCAATGAGATTTGGCTAGCATCAAGGGGGCCCTGAGAAGCGTTAGGCTTCATAGGTGCCCCTCACACAGGGGTATGTGAAGATGGATGCTCCCCTGAGCCCAGCTCTATGGGCCTTTAAGTGCACCCTCCCTTCAGGGTAGTGGGGTGTGTGGGAGAGCTGCCAACCCAGCTGCTGCTGGCACTTGCAGGCAGGTATCTGGTGGTTCCCCCCAGAACCTTTATTGCTGGCCCTGGGGCTGGAGGCCGCAGTGGCTCTGGGCAGGGCTGCAGGGACTCGGGGGACTGGGTGACGTTCACGGCGTCTCACACCAGCGCCATGCCATCCGTGACACAGCTGCACTTCTCGATCACCATGTTGGGAAACTCGGCCGCTTCGATCTCGGTGCGGTTGCCCCTCTTGACGAGGTACATCACAGGGAGCGGGGAGCTCTCTGCCACGGCGCAGGCGCGCTCCCCATAGCCAAAGCGCCAGAGCGAGCTGGGGGGCTGCAGGCAGCCCCCTGAGCACCGGTAAGCCTGGTACCCTGCGGGCTCGATGATCCAGTACTGCGTCCAGGCGAGCTCACGGAAGTTGATGTAGTGCTTCTGCCGGCAGCAGGTGGACTTCCCCATCACCACCTCCTTCTTGCAGTCCCCGGGGTCCCTGTGCACCAAGGGAAAAACAAGAACTGATGCTGTAACTGGAAACTGGGAAGGTGGGAGAAATAATCCCCCTGTTAATAGCATGGGTGGGCCCTGAGATGTGAAACTTGGGCCATGCTTGGGCTTCATTTGAATATTCGGATGATAAATATGGGAAGAGGAGAAGTGTGATTCAGCAGCAACTTTCTAACTCCTCCCCTCACAGGGGCAAGAGCTGCGCACCCTGGGTTGGCACACACAGTACAATAATTCAGGGGCAATGTTACACTGGAGACAGCGCAGATTGAGGTTGCATACATACCCATAGTCTTCCAAGTCAAGGGTGTAAAGCACCAGTTCAGGTTTGCTGAGGGCTTTATCCTTGGGGTCCTGAGAGGTGAAATGCACAGCTTTGGCCATTTCTGAGGCATGGCTGCCTATCCTTTCTCCTTCAATCCAGACCTCCAGGAACATTGGCTCCCGCCTCTTGTTTCGCAGCCAGTAATGTACGGCCTGCGTCACATCAAAGTTCTTCCAGCCCGACTCACGTATAGGAACCAGCCTGTGTGATAAGGGATTGGCATTAGAGAAAAACCCTTCAGATAAAGCCCAGGCTCACAGTGCTGTTATTGCAGCAGAATAATTTGCTTCCTGCAGATTGTCATGTACCTTGATTACACGATAATTTTTGCTGAGTGCTCTGGGTGAGCACCCACAGCAATTAATTCACACCTCAAAAAGAAGCATGCAGATCTAAGAGACACGGAAGGGCTAAATAAAACCTTTTGTGCATGCCCATGTCAAGGTATTCATTCATGCTCATGCAGAAATACAGCAGTGAAGGATTATATGCAGCCTCAGTATTAGTGACGACAGCCTGGTAAATTCCATGACTCCCACCTGGTCCTGTCCTAGCTGCATTAGGGCTGTAAGTTTCTACCCACCAGAAAATTGATTTGATGTCTAATTCTGCCTTCAAGGGTTGTAAAACATCCACAGAGCACAAGGCTACAGAATCAGACGCTTTCTGCATAATTTACTTATTTAAACCAGCTAATGAAATGGCCAATGGATAGAGTACCAGCAGTCAGTAACCCATGTGAGTTAGAGAGTAAGAGAAGTGAACCAGGTGGAGTGTTTTAGAAGGGAAGACCTAGCAGTACACAGCATCATTTGACACAGATTATTTCAATGAATCATCATATATTAAAGTCTAACCTAGTTTCTGCTCTTACAAACGCCTTCTGGGTTTAGAGGCTATAGAGACTGATTCTACAGATGTAACTGCATGAGGCTGACTGGAGGCACAAAAACATGACACCCGAACCCGGCCCAGAGGACCCATACCCTGTAACTAGAGTCCTGCCTTCAGGAGAGGTTCCTTTCTTACCTGGAATCTATCAGGGAGGTCCTGTTGGTACCATCGTGCTGCCGTTGCACCCAGTATACGCTGACTCTGGCATTGGAGATGGGCCTGTGAGACTGCTTGGCAGGCAGGTTTTCTCTGTCCAGAGGCTTTTTGAAGAGTTTCAGTTCAGCCATTGTCACTTCACTGTTTTTAGGTATTCTGCCCTCCATGTCAAAGATCAGGTTCTGACGCGTGGTGGTGTCAGAGTAGAGGACTTCTCCTGCCATGCCTGTGCACGTTGGGAACAAAACAGACAGCCTGTCATTGCCATCCTGGTTAGCAAAGCCCCACACTTCGTCCACAATTATCATCACAACACACTCCTTCCATGCTCCCACATCGAGTCCTTGTGGCAGAGACTGCCACTAAACACACCTTTTCTAATGCATACTTGTATCAGTGTCTTGCAAATGTCCTAATTCTCCTATGTCTGAGTCTCTGCAACCTGGAGGAAAGAAATCTCCTATATAATTTGACCCTAAATTGAACAAATCTCAAAAGGTGCGCAACATTTTGTGCCAGCACTGGGCAGGAAAGCAGGAAACTGTCCCACTTGCAATGAAAAAGTGTTTTTCATTTGCTGTCCGGGGTGCTATGTATGTCTTTTGAAAATGAAACAAGCTCGAAGTGTCCTTGATTTCCTCCTTGATACTTTTCCCAGACAAAAATCAAAAGACAGGGGAGAATGAAACACCCTCAAAGAGGTGTGATTCCTACTAAAGGGCTTTTTGGACTTTTGACCCAAAACCTGCAAGGTCTGCACATTATACTGACTTTTTTTTTTCCACCTGCACAAAATGTTTCATGGGTACCAAGGCTTTTCTTTTCTATCAAGCTCCATCAGCAGCCTGTTCTTTGCAAGGACTGTGGCACCCCATCTCCAGGTGCAAGGACTTGCTAGTGTGTGTTAATCTTAAAGATGCTGTTACACGCATCTCTCCTACCCAGCTCAGGCTCAGAGCCAGACCCAAACCTCATTCCCCCCATGGGTTTGCCTCTGCCTGCCCTGCGGCCGGCCGGGTGAGTGTGGGCAGTTTGCCCTGGCAGCGGCACAGTGCTTTGTGTGTTCCCGACAGCGACAGCAGAAATGTTACCTGTGTTGCCAGGGATCCCCCTGAGGATGCCAGCCAGGCTCGGCAAAGCTCGGCGCTTCACTCTGTTGCGCTTCAGCATGGAGATGTATTTGTTCTTTACGTGGTCTGGGATAACCAGATCCACCAAGTCTCTCTTATGAAGTTTAGGGACCTCAGAGAGCCCCAGCTGCTTCAGCAACACCTCCTTGAACCTGTCCTGGGTAAACGCTCGGACCATGACAACCAGGCAGAGCATGCAGAGCATCCAAGTGAACCTCACGTCCATCCTCCTCCGTTGGCAAAGCGGCCGCCTGCCCAGCAGAGATCAAGTGGGGGATCTCCCCGGGGCTGCTCTCAGCAGAGATGCTGTGGCAGTCTGCCTGAGCAGGACAGAGGTCCCCTGCACCGGGGTTTTATAGCCAGCCTCGTCCCACTGGCACAACAAATTCCACAAGTGGGGACGAAGCAGAGGACTTAAAAGGATCACTCCCCGGTTGGTAGACACATGCCAGTTTAACACCTTCATCTACTGTAAAGTTAATACAAGCAGGTTTAGGGGAGCTTCCAGATTCCTTCACAGGGAAGAAGTTTCCATCCGTTTTGAACTCCCTGCAAACTTTTGCTCAGAAAACCCCTGAGTGATCAGTGTCTCATGTTCTGCCTAGGTCAGGGAGGAAACACTGCAGAGTACATTGCTTTATGTGCCCCACCATATGATTCTTAAAGAAAACATCAATCTTTACTGCAAGAGACTTGCTACCTAAAATAGCCAATATCAGTCAGGAGAAAAATGCTTTAGCATTGTCCATCTTTATGGCCACCATTAAAAAATAATTTGAAATATTTTTGGGGGGGTAGGTACCACTTTGATCGCTGAATATTTGTATCAAGTGTATGAATCAGGGCGGTGAGTCACAGCAGTTGAATGGTTTATGGCCTTTTATGCTGCTTCTGAATCACAGAAGGTGGAAGATGTACAGGCCTGACATTTTAGAAAAAATACCCCATCGGTCCTTATAGATTCCAGTGGGTTTCATAATACTTGTACTTAAAAGAAGGTGTCTTTATATAAAGGTGGATCACCTATCAGTGAACATGAGAATTCACTCTGCTTTTCCACAACATAGATGAAGAATATTGGTATTTTGAACTCTATTAACAAAAATAGAGAGCTGTCTCTGGAGACTGAAGCTGACCTGCAGGCTGGGGGCAAGGGTTGGATGTTTGCCTTGAAGTCAACCTTTAAACTTGAAGTTCCCATCCTTTGATTCCCCGGCCTTTGCTGACGTAAGATGTAGAAGTCTATTTTTGAAACCAATCCCGGGAGAAGTGAATGTGATCGATAAACGTGTGAAGGATCATGTCACTTGGGGCAGATTCTCATCCTCTCCAGCAGTAACAGGCCTAAGCATACAAACAAATGTCTTCAACATCAAAAGTTCTTTGGGTTTTATATGTCTCTGTAAATGATTTAATATTGGTCCAGTTTCATCCAATGTCCAGGCTGAGAAAGTCTAGCTGGAGGACCCGATGTAATGAACGTGTACAAAAACACACGGTTGTGGTTCATCCCTCATTAAAACAAGTGTCAGCTGAGGCAGCCTGTTTTGTACACAGAGGAAGGCAACAAAGCCGTCTGAAAGAGCTGAACTGAACACTTTTGTTATCGCTCATTTTGTCTTTACCACCTTTTAAGAAACTTGTCTCCATAAAAATGATAAAGCCTCCATTAGATGCCAAAGGGGCACCTGATTTAGTTGAATTGAGTTTTAAGGCTGAAATGGAAGCATAGACTACAAACTAACAGTTTGTGCATGGCACAAGGCAGTATATTCTTTAATCTTTCCCTTTGTGTAGCATCTTCCTCTGAACCAATAAATATTTTCTGTTATATTCATTCCACAACAATGAAAGACATCCACTTCATTTGACCCCCTCAACTTCAACTCATGTCAAAAACTCCTGCTCCTGTGAGTAAGAGGAGGGAAGGGTTTTTTGCTGAAATCTCTGTGAGCCTCAGCCCCTTTGGAAGGCTCTGTATGCCTGGCTGTTCCCTCCAGACTGCCTCCACAGCTAAATGGCACATTACTGATTCTCATAGCGTGGGACAGAGGCAGTCACACAACAAACCCCCTTCGGAGGCCTGGGTCACAAACTGCATCTAAGCAATGTTCAGCTGGCTGACAAAAGTTTCCTTTGGATATGCTCTATAAGTGCTGTCTAACTCAGTTGCAGCACTGAATTTGTTATGTTTATATAATGACAGTCACCTGGATAAAACTGCAGTTCATGGATTTTTAATAGTCTCTTTCTCATGACAGAAGACCTGATCCTCTAGACCTTTATCCATCCTTGCTCCAGAGAGTGATCTTATGATGTAGTGAGGGATCTTCAAAAAAACATGACAAAATTAAATGAAAATGCCTGATTGCTCCAGCAGCACCCAGCTTTCCTAGATCTGGATGTGATTTCTCCTGTGGTTGATGTCTAACCTACCAGGACTCTTCACTGTCCAATGTGTATTGGAAGGTGATTTATGGGCTTCACACATAAAATAAAATTATTGACCAAGCACAGTCAAAGCTCAGCTAAGAAGAAAACAGAGGATGTGGATTGTAGGCTTTTCACAGGAGAGTGATTATCTGGTCCAATTGGAGGATTTGCCATTCCCTCTCTGTCATGCAAACAAGAAAAAGTCAGGAATTTTATAATAGCTCTTTTTGTGTAATGTGTATTAGAACCTGCATGGCACATTCAAAATGTCAAACAGAAGATTTCAAGAAGCTGCAAGGGATGAAGTATGAGCAACTTGCTGTTTTAATAAAAGCCAGTACTTAGTGAAGAGAGAATCTCTGTATTTAAGCTTTTAATTTCGTTACAAATGGTTCCCTAAAACATTTTCTGGTCATATCTCTGTAATGATTTTTGGTAAATAAATCCAATGGGTTCAAAGAGAAAGTGTGAAAGGCTTTAGCTTAATTATGTAGCTATTATCCTGGGAAACAAGAATGTTTCAAATGTATTTGCAGTATGTCAGTGAGGACCTGAATATTTAATTTTTCAGGATTTGCATTTCCATGGACACAACTGTTTTGTGTTACAGTTGAGCCCATATTAGAACAGCCTTTGATTGAGTCATGTGCAAGGCAACAGTTTTTGTGTGCTCCAAGAAATGCCCTGATTTGTGCAACAGGCACAGAGATGGGAGCACATCTATACGTAGATTTTGGTCTGGTCTTCCCCAGAGTTAGGGTCTTTTTAATCTAGGAGTGTGGAAGTAAAAATAGTAGTGGTTAAGATGCAGGCATGAACTTCATGTATAAAAAGTTAAAAAAGAATTCCAGTAGAGGTTCTGTTTCGTATTCTTTTTCAGTCTTGAGCACACAGAGTTTTACATGGCTAACAATAGGCTGGTCATGTGAAGTGCTGGGTTAGAGGTTTCAAAAGTGGAAGTGAACTGTAGGCTATGCATGAAGGCATGCCCTCTGGCACTGCCTCTACCAACACACCCCAACCAGCCACCAGCCTGAGCTTCAGGCTTACTATTTCCACCAGCATTTCAAACCCAGGGTACACACTTTTAACTGGGATTTCACAGGCATCTTTGGCTTCCTCCTTGACTGGCATAGTCTGTGCTGGTGGTGGGACCCCAGTTCCTCTTCAGGGACTAGCCCTGTGTCAAAGTCCAGACAGCAAACATGGAGCTCACCAAGCCCACCGCTGGAAAGACACCCCACTGCCAGCAGACAGCAGCTCAATTTCACTCAATCTGGGTTTATGCCCAATTTTTAAATAGTGTCCGAGACATTTCCCATTGGCATTTCCATATCCCATCTCTTGAGCTACGCAGCACCTTCAGCTCTGGACAAGAGTGAGGTGTCACCGAGAGCAGGAGACAGCATTTGCCGGGCTCAGGGCGTAGCCCACCCTCAGCGGAAGCATGGCTGGGGGTGCAACACAGCGCAACGCTCATCCCCCTGCCAGAGAGGCGGCCCATATGTATGTTGATGTTGCATGTATGCAAGGAGAGAAGGGCAATGTACACCTTACCCTGCGTGGCTCCAGGGATGATGCAAAATGACTAGTGGTAATTCCTCAGTAAGACTGTTATTCCAGAGCAAGTCTTCTACGAAATATGGGAAATTCTTCTGGTACAAAGATCAAATGAGCAGGACACAGGGTTATTACCACACTTGTTTGTCACTTTAGGTCCAAACACCACCAGCCTCTAGCTTGGTCTAGAAATGCTCTGATTTGTACTATACTCATTACATGAAAATGGCATATGTCTGCTCAAAGATTCTGGGAAACTCTTGCTAGGGCAGTGGCTTTCAGTCCTTCTCTACCTCTAGAGACAGCTACTCTTTCATTAGGGCATGGATAGCTTTCTCACTGTACAGCACCCAGGATTTCTGTGAGGCTGGTATAGCTCACTGGAGTTTGCATGCGTGCTCCCCACAGCCTCAGCCTGCTCTGCAGAAGTCTGGCATGGAAAAGTTTCATAAGATCTGGCCTGATAACACAAGACATTAAGCTTTTATCTGGCTCCCAGGGCCAGACTGAAAACAGCAGAGCCACTCAATGCAGAGTGTTAATCTACACTAAATCTTTCTGTTGGTTCTGATTTGTCCCAAAAATTTGGCCGTGTCAATTTTTGTGCCAAAAGGCTTTGTGCTTGATCAGGTATTGCCTGACTTACCTGTTCTTACATATGCATTTCCATGCATATCCCACCCCACCACCCCCACTCCCCCCAGTGAGCATAAAATCATAAAATGGACTTTACATCCGTTTTGTGAAGTCTGGCTAATATGACTCTGGGAAATATGACTTTGTATACCATGTCTGAGCCAAACCATGTTTATTCTGACCTGACAGCACACAGATCTGGTACCAAAGACACTGCAACCACAGCCTCAGTCCCTAACGTTTACACTGCCTGCCAGCTAAGGAGACAGTTTCAGTAGCAAGTTTTGTGGTGCAAACAATCAACTACTTGAGCCATACAGAAATTATCCAGCTCACTTAATCTAGGCAAGGACATGAGCCTGCTTTTTCTCATCACCAGTCTAGGCCAGACTGAACTGGCCATCTCCAAGGGAAGTATCTTACAGATCACATGTCCTGTTGGGTTCCTCTCATAAATGCTGGTGGTGAAGCCCCAGGCAGCAAAGGGGATAATGTTCCTTATGCCTTTATCCCACAATGTATCCAGTATAGTAAAACCCCCAATTTATTTGAGAGACATATTGTAAACCTGGTTTGATCTTGAGCTCCGTTCAGGTAACTTCTGGTGCTGTATATCTTAGATTGCATTGACTTAAGCACATCTTCCATAGGCAGGCTTCTGCTTTTACTCACAGGCTTGTTTTGTCAAATGGATGAGACAAAAGGCCTCCTGTTGGAAGAGGGATGGATAAAATGTCAAAGTCCCACCATGTCCTTGGTCAGCTGATGTCAGCTGGCTTGCTTGCAGGGTTTGTGTTGGCAGCATTTGCAAAGTGCCAGTGTTCTGGCAGAAAAGGGATCTACAAGACATTTTTTTTTAGAGAAAAGCAAACACAACTGTTTAAATACAGCTTTTTCTGTCCCCTCAGCAGTCTCCTCCCCACCACCCTATTCTGGGCCTTGTCTGTAGCTGGGGAAGCAGGATTTGCTACCACTCTGATGGCTACAAAAAAGGCTGCTAGCAAAAATGATGACATTTAGCAAATTACGTTGAATCAGATAAAGAAGCATACAGCCCTAAATTGCTTACCTTACACCACAGTCCACGTCATTAAGGAATGTCCCCATTACTGAGAAATAGTTATATTTTGTAGGAGCAGCACTTAATTTTCTAATAAGAGACCATTTACCTGCTTAGTTAAAATGATGCTGCTTTTTTTTTTTTTTTTGTCTTTGCAGCTGTGTGTTTACACTGTAAAAGTTTAGCAGCTTTTTTAAGAGTATGCTTTTCCTGCTCTAGTGATTCAAGTGAGAGCCCACCTCCAGGCCAGGCAGGGCTGGTGAGGCTCTGAGAGTCTGCACAGGCTCTCCCTGCCCTTGGTGGTGCTTGCTGCTGAGTTGGCCTTTAACCAACGTGCTCCAGTGAATGTCACCAAGAGGGCTCAGTGTGTGACCCACTCAGTTGCCTGCCCCAGAGCATGTCTGGCTGGAAGAAGGGTGCCTGTATGAGAGGGAGGCATCAGGCACGCTGGAACAAAATGTGGCAGCTGGAGGTTTTAATGCACATGGTGCTAGCAAGAGAGCTGGGCTGCATGTTGACACAGCTCTATGGACTTTCTTCTGAAAGTTTGGTGCTTGTCCATCAATACCAGCCAGCAGTGTGCTCAGGTGTCCAAGAAGATCAAAAGCATCCTGGCTTATATCAGAAATAGTGTGGCCAGCGGGACTAGGGAAGTGATTGTCCCTGTGTACTTGGCACTGGTCAGGCCCACCTTGAACGCTGTGTTCAGTTTTGAGCCCCTCACTGTGGGAAAGACATTGGGGTGCTGGAGCTCATCAAAGAAGGGCAACGAAGCTGGTGAAGGGTCTAGAGCACAAGTCTTATGAGGAACAGCTGAGGGAACTGGGGTTGTTTAGCCTGAAGAGACACAGACTCAGGGGAGACCTTATCTCTCTTTACAACTATCTGAAAGGAGGTTGTAGCGAGGTGGCTGTTGGTCTTTTCTCCCAAGTAACAAGCAATAGGAAAGAAGAAATGGCTTCAAGTTGCACCAGGGACTGGATATTGGGAAAAATTTCTTCACTGAAATGGTCATCAAACAGTGGAACAGGCTGCTTAGGGAAGTGTTTGAGTCACCCGCCATTCCTGGAGGGATTTAAAAGGTGTGTAGATGTGGTGCTTAGGGACATGGTTTAGTGGCGGTTTGGGCAGTGTTAGGTTAACGGTTGGACTCAATGATCTTAAAGTTCCTTTCCCACCTAAATGACTCTATGTCCCATACCCCTTAAGATTCTCTACCAAGTTTGTGTAGCAAGTGGCCTTCCAGTAATTGAGAAATGCCCCTGTTGTCCTGTCATGTTAATACACTTGCAATACTATTCATATTGCATCTGTGGCAGTGAGTAGCCTGGCTTAGGCATTGACTGTATTTCCTCTAATAACTTTTGCTTCACTGAACAGACTTTCCTCTTTTGCTAATTAAAAGGAGAAAATTAATCACTTTTTCCTGACTCAGATAAAGAATATATTCTGGCAGCTGTAATTTATTTCTATGACCAGGAGAAGCTGCAAAGGCAGAAAGATTATGAACTACATGTTAATGAAAATGTAATAATCTGCATCACTAACTTTGCTGGAATATTTTTTTTTTCCGCAGGCAAAGATGAGTGAGATCTAAAAGGAACCTCTTCTGCTACGCATTGTGATCTGTCATGCAAAATAGTAATTTGTTAGTGTAATGCGAAAAAGAAAAAGGGCTGTTCCTTGCACAGAAAATTACAAAAGCCAGTGCAAGATTGTAGACAAAATTAAGTCATAACATGCACAGAGGTAACAAGGTAGAATTGATAAATCCTTTAGACCTCTCTAATTTGGTGCATCAGATGGAATGTGGAGTAACTGCCCAAAAGCTTCCATTAGTCCTCAATGAGATATTTAAAATTAACTTGGGCAATGCCTTAGCAAATGCATTGATTGGAAAAAAAGATATTCCTGCCAAAGCAGGAAAATGAGCTAAACTATTTATATAGTTGTTTTCTGTCTGTAACGTCTGCTGCTAAAGTGACTTTGGGGCTACTGTGTGTCAGTAGGTTTTACACCATAGAACCAAGATGTATTCAGTTTCGAAATAATTACTCACACATGGCTTTTTTCCTTGATGTTAACAGTGCACTAGTGCTGTGATCAAGAGGATGATGAGGTGGAGTTCTGAATGGTTCAGCAACAACTCCAGACCTGTCTGCCGGAGCTCTGGGTGAGCTGGGCTGATACTGAGGGAGGATGTCTGAGAGGCTTGGGAAGAGGGGGGAGGCAGGAGATTCAAGACATACAAAACAGTCTTCTTGGAAATGATGAGCTGAATCAGACTACAATCCCTCATCCCAATGCTTAATGTTCATTCTTTTTAAACAGAAATAGCCAGGCTTAACTGGCTGTAAACACTGCATCAAACATTGCAGTCATCTTTTCTTTGTCTTCAGAGTTCTGCCATCTTTTCTGAGAATGGTCTTAAAGGGTTATAGAGTATTTGAAATGCATTTTAACAGTTTTTAGATCTATTAATAAAATTTCACATCATTGACATTAGCTCATTTTTTAAAACCTAGTGAGCTGTTTAATATTTATGCTGTTCATTCCATTCCCCTTCTGTCTCGATTGAGTACCTTGTTACACCTTTGAGAATTGCATAATAACAAATACCATAATAGCCCCCTAATTTTCTTTTGCCTTCAAACAGTGCTGCAATGTTCAGAAAGGACGGTGTGTGGACAGACTGTTTCTACTCAAGCAGTTACTACAAAGCTGTTTCCACTTAAATATTTATATTATTGTTGTATTGCCTTTGTAACTTTTTGGGTATGTTATTACTTTTTAATGAAAAAGACTTCAGTAGGAAAGAATTGGAGAAAATACAGTTTCTTGTGTATTTGACTCTAAAGTAGAACACAAAGGGGTATTTTACTTCATGGCACAGGTTAAATTATGTAATTTCCTGCCATGTACCCAATATCTATGTAAACAAGGGGTATAAAGTCTCGGATTTAACATGGCCCTTGTAAAGAGTAAAATAAAGTTGTGTGACCTGACTAGTTTTAATCCTTTTAGCATTCATACTACAGGACCCTGGGAGATGCATCATGGTCATTTGATTTTAAAAGGAAATCTAGCCACACTTGGCCAGGTCACTTGAAGCGTGAAACAAAAACTTCAGTTGTTGGTTTGGTTTTTTTTTTTTCTTTTCTTACCTAGCCATTTGCTTATTCAAAAGCATTAATCCAGGAATGGCCAGCATTTTCACATAGCAACTAAATGCATTTTGAACCTTAATTTTGGGTTCACCTTGAGATTCTGCAGGAAATGCCACGCATTTGAAGATTGTATCTGTCAGCTTTCCAGGTTGAATAACAGTGGTAAAGACACGGTGACTAAAATTTTTTTATTTATGCAGCATGGCTGTTAGCTTTAGCTGTTGTCAGTATAGAATACAGGGTCTTTTGACAAATCAGACATGTGGAGAAGATTTTCAAAGGCACGAAAAGGAATTCGATTAAAACAGAGCAAGGAATATTTTGCCTCCATGACAGCAAAATTGGAAATAAATTACTACAATCAGAGCAGAGACATAGATGACCCAGGAATTAATTTGAAATGCTTACTCAGTTTGACCAGATCTGTTAGAACACCTCAAAGGCTGACTACAGGAAAATGTTGTTTTCAATGAAGTTCAGGTTCTGCAAATCCAGTGGATGGAATTTGAAAATCACAATGTGCAGCAGACTTGGAGGACTGGCTGTTAAAGCTCTTCAGAGGCTGCACCACTTGATTTCCTCTCAGTCCCTTGTGGTAGGAAAGCTTATCTCTGGACTTTACCGTGTTTCCAGGCTGGTAAACTCTTAAACACATGCTGTCCCAAATAAGAAAATGCTCCAGTTCATAATGGAACATTAAAATATACTATCGCCTGGTCTTGCCTTTAAACTGATCCAGAAACCGCAGCAATTACAGTCTTATTTCCTAAGGAAAGTGGATAGGAACTGGTTTCTTAACATAATTTCATGTCCTCTGAGAAATGCTGTCCCTGTGATAATTTGAATAATAAGTTCAATAAGGTTGACGTATGAAACCTCCCTAGTTTTCACGGGAACTATGGTGCAAAGGAACTACAATCAACCTGGTTTGCCATTCCCCAGAGCAGTTGGCAATCTGGGGCCTTAAACCTCAGGTCTGCTCATCTCGGGGCTCTGTGTGCAGCAGTGCCAGCTTACACCTTTCTCAGGTGTGCCCAGGAACTCATCCAGACAGGGTGTAAAAGAAAAGGTGCACTGTGTTGTGAAGGGAGAAATAGTTTGCTGAGGTGCTCCCATGCAACATGAACCCTTTCTTCTCCCCTGGAGCCCATCTAAATCCAGAAACTCCCACAAAGTGGCTGTGCCACTTTACAGGACCTGCTTTTAAGTCCTCCCAAATTAATTCTGATCACTCACTTCATTATAATCTGGTATATAATCTGAATATATAAACATCTGCTTTACTGAATCCAAATATATAAACACCTGCTTTACTCGAAACTGTACAGAATATCAATAGGAAGAGAAAGCTGAAAAGATTTGCACTCTCTTCCCGGTTCTGTCCACAAATCAGGATAATGACCTTGAGCAACGTGCCTTGGTCAAAATTTTCAAGTCCGTA